TGTAGTTAACATGACCGAGTCTTTGATGCCAGAGTTCAGACATATCAATTTTAGCACTACTGCACACATAGTTCGAGTTTGGAAGAACTCCATAACAGTTATCAAATGTTCTAACACCTTCAAGAACAACACCACCAGAAGCGTCATAAATAGTGCATCTCTTTTGGACAAAACTCACTTCATAGTCAGCATCATAGATTTGACTAATGTTCAATAAGTTGGACTTAAGGCCCTCTACATAAAGTACATTGGATATTGTAGGAAGTCCAGCAATGATGATGGAGCCTTTGCCTCGGATGGGTGTCGTAGCTCCATCCCCAAAGGTAACTACACCTCGTTGCAGTCATCAAAGAAAGAGAATAAAGCATTGTTACCATACATGTGTCTAGAATAAGCACTATCAAGATACCACATACATGTATTTTGTGCCTTATATGCAACATGAGCAACAAAACATTTTAGATTCTTAGTATACTCACCCACATCAGATTTCTTTACCCAAACTTTTCTCGAGGTCGAGGTGATCCTAGTCAACCTTGTTACCATCTCAGTTAAGTGGCTAACCTGATTTGAAAGGAAGTTTACTTGACCGGGGATATCCTGACTTCGATTCCTATTTACTAGCTTTCGACACCTAGGTCTCGTGTGGCCTAAGGCACCACAGTGATGACAAGTCGGTATGAACCTAGGTTCAAATGTACATGAGTGTTGATTATGAAAATTAGGTGTAGAGATCTTATGAGCTCTAGTGGCCTTCAGTCCATTAAAATTTTTGTCTTTGGATTCTGGATTTGTTGAAACATTAGATCTGTTGGAAGCGAGGACAAATGTGGTCTTTGATAGACTAGACACATTGTTATCATTCTTCACAAATCCTAGACCTTGCCTATTTCCAGCTGGTTTGTTCATTCCTAACATATCGTCTAGTTTCTTAGTTCCACTCGCAAATGATTGTAGTTGAGTCTTGGATCTCTCTAATTCACAGGTCAATGTCTTGACCCTGTCCTCTAATTTCTCATTGACACACTTCAACTCACTGAGATTCTTGGATGAGACTTGAAGTTCATAGGTCATTTTCTCCTTCTCTCTCTCAAGCTCGTCTACCTTCTTAGATAAGGCTTTATTTACCTTTTTGATCTTGAGACTTTTCTTAAACAGAAGTTGATAAGTCTAATTTATATCTGTCTCATCCTCCGAATCATCATGGGACTTGTCACTCTCCACGTCCTCCTCAACCTTCTTACTTTCCTTGTCTGACTTGCTCTTGACAGTAGATACAAAAGCCATATAGCCCTTTTCCTCCTCACTGCTTGAGGAATCACTTTGTTCACTTAAATTAGAATCATCATCAGTCAAGGACACGGTTAATGCCTTCCTACTCCCTTTCGTTAGATCTTTCTTAAAGCTAGGACATTCATTTCTATAGTGCCCAAATCATTGACACTCATGACACCTAACCCCTTGAGATTTTTTACTAGGGTTCCCAGCAGTTGATTTATCATCCTTCTCTCTTTGCAATTTGCTAGGGGCTCCTCTCATTTTCTCTTGAGGCCATTTTTTGCCCTTTAAGACTTTTTGGAATTTTTTTACAAAGTAGGCAATCTCCTCATCTCTAAGAGTTTCCATGTCAGATGATTCAGACTCCCCTTCCCTAACAGTGTTCAGGGCTATGACTTGTTTTTTCTTGGTTGTGAAATGGTGAGTTCATAGGTTTGAAGGGATCCTACGAGTTCTTCTATCTTAATTGTATCTAGATCATTGCTTTCTTCAATAGCTGTAACTTTAGATCTAAATCTCTCGGGCAAGGATCTAAGAACCTTCCTCACAATTTTGGGCTCGGGAATCCTCTCACCTAGGTTGAAACTAGAGTTAACAATGTCATTCAATTTGGCATAGAACTCATCAAAAGATTTATCATCCTTCATCCTAATTTCTTCAAACCTTGAGGTTAGCATTTGCAATTTTGAATTTTTTACAATTTTAGTTCCCTCATGCGTAGTCTTTAAAATGTCCCATACCTCTTTAGCAGTTTCACACATTGATAATCTCCTAAATTCTTCGGGAGACACAGACATAAACAAGGCATGAAGTCCTTTGCTATTCCAATTGCAATCAGCTAATTCTTCCTTAGTCCAAAGTGAAATATCAGTTAGATTGACAATACTTGACACAGTTGTAGAAGGGGGTTTCCAACCATTTTGTACGCACACCCAAACACGTTCATCTAAGGACTTAAGAAAAGCACGCATCCTAACCTTCCAGTAGGCATAGTTGCTTCCGTCAAAATACGGAGGCACAGACAGTGATTGACTCATCTAGACAACAATGGGTCAGGACTCGAGTTTTGGCTCCGATACCACTTGAAATATCGTAGTTCGACCCAATCAACACCTAGAGGGGGGTGAATAGGTGTTTATGCGAAATTTCCTTTATCAATCAATTAATTATTACAACATGTTACAAAAATTAATTTATCCAGATCAGTTCACATACTTTACTATCCTATGTTTGAATACCGATCATAAATTAATTTGAGAAATATAAATAACACAATTATTTGATGACAGAGAAACCCCAATGTGGGTAAAACTCCGGGCCCAAGCCAGTAGGAATCCATTCTAAACGTAAATGAAACTTACAATCAGCTAGACTCAACCTACACTAGCTTTTCTGATATCCTGACCATAGTTTCCTCAAGCCCTTCCTAAAATGTGTGATCCTGCACCAATTCCCGGCACCTAGCCATCCTGGATTGCGTGCTACACCAATTCCCAAGTCTTGATTTTGTCTATCTCCTGTGGATTCAAGAGAACCACCTGTTTTCTAATGAACGGGACTCCGATCTCCTTCCTCGATCTCCAAGAATCAACAAAGGCACTAGAAGATTGTGTTGTGGTGTTTGATGAATGTTGATTTGATCTTTTTCATGTAATTGATCAAATCAAATATAGGATTGAATGAGAAAGTTAAAATGTAGGAGAGTTGTCCTCAATTTCAATACCTTCAAAGCACTATTCCAATTCGGCGCAGTTTTTCTCATGTATGTCTTTTTGGTATTTCTGGTCGGGTTACAATGTCGAAAAAAGGAAAATAGGGTTTTATGGGTAACACTGTCGCTCGAGAGACAAGCAAGTGACGTTATTTCACTCGAGCGAAGTGGGGACGAGAAGCGAGCGACGACCATTCTGTTTTTGTCGCTCGAGCAACCACTTGGCGAGCAACTAGCGAAACTTCGACAACACATCTTGCCCTCCTTCATAGCTCGAACCCTAGCACACTTTGCCAAAATTGCAATTGAGTCCCTCATCTTTTATACATGTGCACAATGACCCCATATCCTTTAATAATTGACAAATTGACCCCAAACTTTTGAGCATTTACATTTTTACCCTTTTGTTCACAGAATAGCCAATACAAAATCTAACAAATATTTAAATATTGAAGTTTCCATGCTATAGAAGACTTTCTAGCGATGCATAATAGTCTTGTGGAATCTATTTATTCTTCACAATAGTATTTGGAAAAGAATAGCCTAATTAAATATTTAGCATAGGGAAGAATATCTCCGCTCGTGTAAAGTAACTACTTTTATTTTTATTATTTGCATTCTATAAATTATGTATTGATCTGATTCACTCGCCAGTCTTGATATATTATATGGAAGTTTTAGACTACAACAAAAATTTTCATAAATTGAAACAACAGCTATCTTTAGAGATGGACATTCCACGGGATATTATTCAAACTAGGCAACTGTAGAAATTAATCCTTCGACAAATAGACTTTCTATATATATATATATATATATATATATATAGAATACAAGTTAATTTACAGGGACGTTTCGAGAGAAGACTTTGCATGTTATATATATTTCATCATTGAATTATTCTAATTGATCTGTTACTACGGACAATACAAATAAAATGAAGGAAAAAAATAAAACCTGAAAGTCTCTATGGCCATGGGATTGTATTTTTCTGAAAACTCGATTCATTTGGTGATAGTTTCTCGATAAAAATTGTATAATCTCTACCGATATTTAGATATAAAAATTTCCATGTTGTAGAAGACTTTCTAACTATGCATATAGTCCCATGGAACCTACTTATTCTTCACACCAGTGGATAACTGATTCAGCCCTTTGGAAAAGAATAGTCTAATTGAAAATTCAGTTTAGGAAAGAGTCCCTCCATATAATCCACAACAACAGCAATAGAGAGGGAAACTCCACGGGATATTATTCAAACTTTGAAAAATTAAGGCCTAAAAAATTAATTTTTCGATCAACTTACAAATAGACTTTTTACATCTTAATTTCCATGGACTTACCAATACAAGAATTTGCAAATTATATAAATATCTCTTATTGATATACGTTTTATATCATTATTGGACTTCTATTCTATTACTACGTGTTAAAGATATGAAAAATATTGTTGAGAATAATATCTATCATATTTTTCCTTTTAGTGTAGGATTATTTTCTTTAGTAATTGATTGTGTAATTATTACACAATCTTTTCTTTCACGTTATTTCCTTTTACACTTATTTGTAACCCTATAAATAGGGTCTTCTACTTTGTAATACACAAGAGTTTATTATGTGCAATTTATAATATTTTAACACTACGTACAAATGTACTATAGAAATAAAACCAATCTAAAAGTCTCAATGGCCATGGGATTGCATTTTCTAAAAACCCATTTTATTCGGGCAATTCTGCTTCTATATTTCTCAATATCAATTTCAAGTTCCACCCATAGCTTATGATGGTCACCACTGTTGCCCGTCATGATTATGATGGAAGCTTTAGACTACAAGAAAATTTCCAGTCATGATTATGATGGAAGTTAATTTCCATGGACTTAGTAAGAGAAGACTTTTAACGCGTAGGAGAAGACTTTTGCCGCGTTAATTTCCATGGACTTAGTAAGAGAAGACTTTGCAAGTTTATAAATGTATCTTATTTTAATAATATTATCAGAGAGCTAATTCTGTTACTACATGCAATACAAATACAACCAAGGAAAAATTACAATATAGAAGTCTCCATAGCCATGGGATTGCATTTTTTGAAAACCCAATGCATTCTGGCAATTCTGATTACATTTGTCTCAACATCAATTTCAAGTTCTCTCCCAGATGCCAATTTCCAAATAGCGAAGCCAAACTGTAAGAATCTTTGTGGAAACGTACCCATTCCCTTCCCTTTTGGCACTACCGAAGCATGTTTCTATAACAGGTCATTCTTAGTCACTTGTAATGAAACCTTCAGTCCTCCCAAAGCATTTGTAACGAACTCGACCGTAGAAATCACTAACATATCCCTGGAGGGCCAATTGCGCGTCCTAAGCTACATAGCGAAAGACTGTTATTATCAGAATGGCAACAGAAGCCTGCATAATGCTCCCTTGATACAATTAATCTGGGGCCTCTCCATCAGTACTGCAAATAAATTCACCGTGGTTGGTTGCGATACTAATGGTTTTGTGCATGGTCGGCGGTTTAACAAAAATTTTTATCGGACAGGGTGTAATTCTTATTGCGGATCCAAGGAGGATTTGGCAGACGGTATGTGCTCTGGTCTAGGCTGCTGCCAAACTTCTATCCCAAAAGACGTGCGGAGAGCAGAGATGACATTGCAGAGCTATGATAAATTCAAAAATGTGTGGGACTTCAACAATTGCAGCTATAGTTTCCTTGCTGAAGAAAGTGCATTCAATTTTACTCCAAGTAGTCTTTCCAGCCTGAGGAATGTAATAAGTCTTCCTATGGTGGTTGACTGGGCGGTTGGAGATGGAACTTGTGTGGAGGCTCAAAATAACATGTCTAGTTATGCATGTAAAAGTTTGAATTCCAAGTGTAAAGAACCCGATAATGGTTATGGGTATCGCTGTTATTGCGATGAGGGTTTCCGAGGAAACCCATACCTCGATGGTGGCTGTCAAGGTAGGTTTGATTTAATTTAATTTTTTTCCCCTCTAGGTAATATCTTGATATACATAAATAGCTTGCTCTGGTTGAGCAACTAATGTCATTTTATATTCAGTGCTTGAAGAATATACTTCATTTGCTTTGCTGTTTTTGTTATTTTTTCTTATGCAGATATTGATGAATGTCTAGATCCAAACAATAAATGTGAAAAGGGATGTAAGAACATACCGGGGAATTATACCTGTACTTGCCCGGAAGGTTACCATGGCGACGGGTTGAAATATGGACAAGGTTGCATTCGTGGTGAATCACTCATCTTCAAACTTGTTGCAGGTTAGTATGAATTCTTTGGGTAGTTCTTAACCTTTTCTCTCATTTTTTGGGACCAGCGTACAATGCCAATAGAATCTCGCGAATTTGAGTAACCTTTAATATAAACCCATATTTCCCAAAAAAAATAAAATAATAATAATAAAATAAAATTCTAGCCTGTTGGTTCAATGAAAATAAAGTGAGAAAATGAAGTTAATGTCAATTCTTTTTGCTCCTTTAAAATTTTAATAACAGGGATTGCTCTAGGCTTCATTGTTCTTCTGCTTGGTGCCTGTTGGTTGTACTTGGAACTCAAGAGAAGAAAGTTGATCACAATGAAGCAGAAATTCTTTCTTCAAAATGGTGGATTAATGTTGCAAGAACAACTCATTAGAAGAGACTACTCTCCCGATACAATGAAAATATTCACTTCCGCGGAGCTCAAGAAAGCAACAAACAACTTCCATGACGATAGGATTATCGGTCAAGGAGGTTTTGGCACTGTATACAAAGGCTTTCTATCAGATAATAGAATAGTTGCCATCAAGAAGTCCAAAGAGGTTGATCCAAACCAAATCGAGCAATTTATCAATGAGGTGATTGTTCTTTCCCAAATAAACCACAAGAATGTTGTCAGGCTTTTTGGATGTTGTTTAGAAACACAAGTTCCTCTACTAGTTTATGAATTCGTCAACAACGGCACCCTTTTTGAACACATAAACAATGAAACAAAAGCACACGCTCTTTCTTGGGACAAGCGCTTAACAATAGCTACAGAAGCTGCTGGTGTGCTTGCATATTTGCACTCGGCAGCTTCACCTCCAATCATACACAGAGACGTCAAGTCAGCTAATATTCTTTTAGACAATAATTTCACTGCAAAAGTGTCTGATTTTGGAGCATCGAGATTAGTTCCTGCGGATCAAACTCGATTATCAACTATGGTGCAAGGAACATTTGGATACTTAGACCCGGAATACATGCAAACAAACCAATTAACGGAAAAAAGTGACGTTTATAGTTATGGAGTAGTCCTTGTGGAGTTATTAACAGGAAAAAAAGCATTGAGCTATGAGAGACCAGAGGAGGAGAGAAATTTAGCAAGCTATTTTCTTTCTAGACTGAATCAAGGCCGTTTATACCGAGTTCTTGAAGATAACATTGTATCCGAAGGCCGTCAATTGTGAAAAGGAAAGAAAGAGAGAACGAATCCCGACAGATGGCTGCAGTATTTCTCGACAGTTGGGTGAATCCCGACAGATGAACTGTCATTCCCGACAGTTAGCTATATGCATTCTCGACAGATGACAGATGTCACTGTCCTGCCGACGAGTGCAGTCATCTGTCGACACAGGTTTCAGTGACAGTGTCTCGACACATAACTGTGGGCACTGACGACATTGCACGTGCATTTAGAAATAACATCGGGGTTTACTGGCAAATTTTCTGTGTCCGTAATATGCATATGAATTATAATCATTTCTCAACTACAAATGTGTTTGATAGCATTAATGGTTATAATCTTTTCTCAACTGCCGAGAAGTTTCAAATGTATTTGGTAGCATTAATGGTTGTAATCATTTCTCAACTACAACATCACAACCTATTTCTAGAAATAAATGACCGAATGCTTCATTAAATATGGAATACTTCACATTTGCCTAAATATTTTTGATATGTTTTTCCTTCAAAAATATAAAAAAAAAAAAAGAACATAATGATTAATAGTAGTGATTATCATGTTGTTTTTAATATTTTAAAAAGAGTAAGCTATTACATAAAAATATAAACAATTCGTAATAACTGACCTTTCAAAATAGATGAAGAAGATAGATGAAGTAATGTTTTCTTGATCAAGAAGAAAATGGATGAAGAAGATGAATGAAATAAGGGTTTGTTTAATAAGAAATTTGTTTTTTTTATGTTAACTGGGTTTTTAAGGATTTTATATTCATTTTTTATTAACTAAATTCGTATTTTACAATATAATATTCATATATTCAATGATTATAATATAGAAATTAAACAATCAAATCACAACATTAATTGTTTTGAAAAATAATCATGAAGGAGCATTAAATGCTCCAAAAAGGTCAAATTAAGGGTAATTTAGACATTTCACAACAAGAAAGTGACATTTTTGTACAAATTGTGTACACATCAAAGTTTTTTGTACATTTTCAAAAAAAAAGTGACATTTTTGTAAATTTCCCATTAAAATATAACAAATGCACTTTATACAAATTTGGACAAGCTACCAAGGCCACTACTACATTATACGCTCATTCCTCAATACACATACGGCTGTGCGCTTCCTCACTTATTGAAGGAAGTGAAGCTTTTATTTAAAACTCCTAGCTTAGGCTATCTTTTTCATCTACAGTACAATATAAAGTGGGCTGCAATGTCCATGCCAATATTTAGCCTTTTGTATATTTTATATTTTCTATGTAAAAAGTACTGTGGACTACGTATGTAAGGTGGAAAAATGAATGAAAACTAACTTCTTTTGTCCTGGCAGTTGTTCCATTTCTCTAATATGTTTTGCTTTGGTTTTGCACTTTCTTCTTTGGTTTTTCAAATTCATTGTTGGTTTTCCTTTATTTTGGAAGATAAAATGCAGGTTTCTTGAGCTCTTTTACAGGAAAGAAAGGAGCTAACATTTGGTATCAAAGCGTCCATTGATCTTAAGGCCTGTTATAGAACTGCTACCAAAATCGAACGCTATCAAATATTTTCCACATCCATATCAGTGCAAGGAGTTATACATTGGAGAAAAATCTCATAAACATGTAATCAAATAGGTTATCTTCAAGAAGAAGAAGTGACATAGCCCTCATTCCACCACAAACCCTCCAAATTCAATATCAAAAACTGTTATTTACGTAAAAAAATCATTAAGACCATGTTGTTGATTGATCTCTAACCACAATCATGCTAAACTGGACAGAAACTGTTAGCACCTATTGACATCTCTTGAGCAATTTCTTCCAAGCTAATGAACAATCTATGCTAACATTTCAAGATTATTTCCTTCTTTGTTGTTTCTTGTACATGATATATTAGGATATGATCTGTAATTATTTAGGTAGTTTATTCTTTCCTAGTTTAGTCTTATACGATCCATAACTTAAGGATCTTACCATGTATTGTGGCTATTTATGCCAACATTGAGAAGAGCAGAAAAAACATGTTTTCCAACCTTATTTTTGACTTGGTATCAGAGCGGTTCCGATCACCGCAGAACCCCGAATCCTCCTTTACATCATGACGGATGACAAAACTGAATCAACACCAATTATTCATGTCCAATCAGAAAACTCTACCTTTACAACCAGTGTCATTCTCACTGAAGTGAACTACGATGTATGGTCCCAGATCATGGAGATGCAAATTGCAGGACGTGAAAAGCTTGAATACATTGTGGGCAAAAAACCAATCCCACAAGATACTGACGCTACCTATGCGAAGTGGTATGCTAAAAATCAAAAGGTCAAGGGGTGGTTGCTAACCTCTATGTCACCGGATATTATGAAGCATTATATTCGATTGCGCATCGCACAGGAAATCTGGAATGCTCTGGCCAAAGCTTTTTACAATGGATCCAACGAATCACAACTTTTTTCATTGAATCAGAGAACTTTCTCTACCAAACAGATTGGTCACCCTCTATCAACATATTATGGTGATCTTGTAGAAATTTTTCAGGTACTTGATCATCGTGACAAGGTTGTAATAAAAGACCCTAATGATGTTATTGCCTATAGAAAATCTACTGAACGATTGCATGTACACATTTTCTTGAATGGATTGGATGTAGAATTCGAACAAGTTAGAGGCGAGATTCTCAAAAAGGACCCGATATTAGACCTTGAAGAAGCCTATGCTTACGTACGTCGAGACTTTGTTCGCAGAACCACTCTAAATGGCGAAGCTGAGCGTGTTGAGTCATCTGCAATGGTGACACGTCGAGCTAAGCCTAAAACAGATCGATCAACTGGTCCTACCATTGATCAAAATTGAGTATCAGGATCCCAGAATCGTAGCTATGAAATTGGAACAGCAAAATTAGAACATATTTGTACTCATTGTGGTGAAACTGGGCATACTAAGTCACGATGCTATGAATTGAATGGGTACCAGAGTGGTGGGATCCTACCAAAGAACCTCACAAACGGAACTCCAAACCAAATAAACATACCTCGGTTGCAGTTGCAGAGCCTTCCATCTTCAACACATCCAACATGCCTGAGGATTCTTCAGCTTTAATTACTACATCTGGTAAGGCTCTTTATACTTCCGCTCCTTGTAGTAATGGTGAATGGATAATTGATTCTGGGGCAACGGACCATATGACCTTTGACAATCATTATATTCAATCCATGAAACCATCTAAACAGCAAGTTGTATCCACAGCAAATGGGACTCCCTCCCCTGCTATTGGAGAAGGTTCTATCACCCTCACCGAAAATATGAGTCTTGATTCTGTATTAGTTGTTCCAACCCTCAATCATAATTTATTGTCGGTTGCTCAGATAACTCTTACTGTGCATTGTATTGTGATTTTTTGGCCTAAACTTTGTGTTTTTAAGGATATTCAAACTCGGAAGACAATTGGTTATGGTCCTAGAATGCGGAAGCTCTATTACCTTGATCTAGTGCTGGCGAGTTCTCATTAGTTAGCTCAAACATTTGCCGTGAATAAATCTGCAGATTCGGAAGTTTGGCTATGGCACAAACATTTGGGTCACTTATCATTTGGATATTTAAAGAAATTGCTTCCTGAATTATTTACTCAATTGTCTGTTTCGAATTTTAAGTGTGATGTGTGTGAAATGGCTAAAAGCCATCGTGTTCCATTTCCAATAAGTATGAATAAAAGTCTAGCACCTTTTATGATTATTCATTCTGATGTATGGGGTCCAGCAAATAACCCCTCTCTTAGTGGTAAACGGTGGTTTGTTTCCGTTATTGATGATCACACCCATATGACTTGGATTTGCTTAATGAAATCAAAAGGTGAAGTTAGTTCATTGTTCAAACAATTTCACAAAATGATAGCCACTCAATATCATTCAAAAATACAAGCTCTTCGCAGTGACAATGGTGGAGAGTTTGTTAATCAAGATTTGAAACAATATCTAGATGATCATGACATTACTCATCAAACCACTTGTGCTTACACCCCTTGGCAAAACGGGGTTGCAGAGTTCAAGAACTGCCACCTGCTTGAAGTTGTTTGGGCTTCCTTGTTTCAAGCTCATATATCGACTAGTTATAGGGGTGAAGCCATCACAGCTACAGCTTATCTTATCAATCGAGTTCCCTCGAGTGCATTGCAATTTCAAACCCCCTTAAATGTCCATCATAAAGATGTGAATTCACCTACTGTACCGAATCTGTCACCTAAAGTTTTTGGGTGTGTAGCCTTTGTTCATATTCATAAGCCATTAAGAAATAAATTGGAACCCCGAGCTATCAAGTATGTCTTTGTTGGCTATGCCCAACATCAAAAAGGCTATCGCTGTTATCATCCTCCCTCTAAAAATTGTATGTCGCTCTTGATGTTGCATTCCATGAAGATAGTATGTATTATTTTCCAAAGTCTTCAATTCAGGGGGAGAACAGAATTGAATTGCAGACTCTCAATCACCACTTGGATACCTTGGAATTTATAAGTGGTGACAAATAGATGGAAAAGGCATGAGTGTCCAGATGGTGAGTATTTGAATCACAACAATGAACATCCAAATTATACTAATGAGCATGATTCACAGGACGACAACAAGGAAGAACGGATGGAAATGCAACCAGAATCTCAGCCTACTACTTCCCCCTTCATGATGTGCCAATAGATCAATTACTTCCTGAGTCCGAGTCCATGTTTGAGCCTCAGGTAAATTCTGAAACTCACCTAAAAACTCTACCTCACTAAATCACAAGAGGAAAATCTAGAGTTAACTATGAACCGCTTTTCACCTCTAAGTCTCGGTATCCCATAAATAATTTTGTTTCTCACCATAGATTATCAAAGGAAGGTGAAGTCTTTGTGAATCAATTATCTGCTATATCTATTCCTAGTAGTGTGCAGGAGGCCTTGAAAGATCCAAAGTGGAGAGAAGCTATGAATGAAGAAATGAGGTCTCCCCAAAAGAATTCAACATGGGAAGCTACTGACTTACCTATC